AACGTCTTTTTAAATGGAGAACTTGAAGGGACTGTGTACATGAATCAACCTGAAGACTTCATTGACAGCTCAAAACCATCTTATGTTTGCAAGTTGGAAAAGGCACTCTATGGGCTAAAGCAAGCACCCAGAGCCTGGTATGACAAGCTGAAAACTACACTGGAAATTTCAACAATCAAAAGCCGTTACATCTTTGTTCTATTTCAAAAATGAAACTCAGATTCTTTTTTCCCTCATTTACGTTGATGATATAGTGATAACAGAAAATGACAAGGGGCTGCTACAATGGTTTATAGATGAACTGAATCAGAAATTTGCAAACAAAGATATGGGACAGCTTCATCACTTTCTGGGAATAGAAGTCTACTGGCATGAATCGGGAATTCATCTTACACAAACAAGGTACATTGTTGGGCTGCTAAAGAAATTTGAACTCCAAAATATAAAGCCTTGTCCAACACCAATCACCACAGGTAAAACAATGTCAAAAATCGATGGAGAAGCATTAAGAGATCCTTCAATTTACCGAAGTGCAGTAGAGGGGTTGCAGTATCTAGCACATACAAGGCCAGATATCACGTTTTCTGTCAACAAACTGAGTCAATTCCTGCAGTCTCCAACATCAGTGCACTGGCAGGGAGTTAAAAGAGTGCTAAGATATCTAAAAGGAACCATCAATCAAGGGCTGTGGATACAAATGAGTGATAGCTGACTCTAACTGGTTACACAGATGCGGACCGGGCTTCTTGTCCAGATGACAGAAGATCCACATCTGGGTATTGCATCTATTTAGGAGATAATTTGATAGCATGGTCATCCAAGAAGCAACATGTGGTTGCTCGATCGAGCACGGAAGCAGAATATAGAGCTCTAGCAGCTGGTGCAGCAGAAATTTCGTAGACTCAGTCACTTTTCAAAGAGGTTGGGCTACCACAAACTTTGACTCCAATTTTATGGTGCGACAATATGGAAGCTGGAGCGCTAGCAGCAAATCCTGTGTACCATGCTCGAACAAAACATATCGAGCTGGATATTCACTTTGTCAGGGATAAAGTGCTAGAAAAGAAATTAGAGGTAAGATATATTCCTTCTTCAGACCAAGTTGCGGATCTACTAGCTAAAGGCTTATCTCATTCCAGATTTAATTTTTTGAAAGACAAGCTTGGAGTTACAATGGTACCTTCCAGCTTGAAAGGGGGTGTTGATATAAGTTAATCCTCAGCTCATCAATTAGATAAGCATATCCCCAGCTCTACTGAAGATCAGCAAATCAGCCTATTGTCCTCTCCTTATCAATTCTGTTGCACCAAATTTCTGTTACTAATGGACCTTAGCCTCACTCCATGATTTAAGGAGATTGCTCCAGCTGTGAATTCTAGAACACTCCTCACAACGGCTCTTTTATTGTCATTGCATTGTATATAAATTTATTGGCTATTGCTGCCTTATTGTATTGTGAATCATTGATTAATATAGCTGAGATGCATTACTTTAACTTATATATACACCTATTCACGCATACATTGAAGAGAAAAACCAACAGCTATTCTGGATTAAAAAAAGGAAAGGAATACACACGCAGAGAAGGAAAACCGGCAGTTTCTAGGCAAGTAAAAAAGCAGGCGGCTTCTGAACAAGTTTATCTCCCAACTGGTTTTTATATATTCACGCAAAAAGGCGACTGAAGGGGAGAAAATGGATACACAATGAGCAGAAGCAGTCCGCACACAAACAATAGGAGACGACACACATAGGAAGTTTCACGTTTCATCAATTTTTGGTGATGTCATTTCACTTTTGCATGTTAAATTTCAACATTATGTGTAGCTAAATACTTTTAGGTCCCGTTTGATATGCGTTATTTTTCAGGGAACTGGTAAAACATTTTTCACTTTCCATTTTTTGGCTGTTTGATAGTCAAAATTTTCCATGGAAAATATTTTCCGAGTTTCGCCCACACGTATGCATTTTCTGGATTTTTGATGAAAATATTTTCCCACCTTTTTTTTTTTTTGTAATGGAAACAAATTTCATAACCAATGGTAAAAACAAAAAAATTTCACTTTAATGGACAATTTTCATGTAAAACAAAGTCAAACGAAAACTAAACTTTGAGGAAAAAAATGATTTTTTAGGAAACAATTTTTTCTCGCTTTTTTTTTTTTTTTTACTTTTTAGAACAGAAACAAATTTTATAACCAAT